GGGGGGGGGGCGCCTGAGCTTTGCTCTCCCTCAGACCGCATGGGATTTGCCACCAGGATGGTAGTGCCACCTGGCGTGCTACTGCACCATGGCAATGCCTGTGCTACAACTGTAACGGCAGACGGGGAAGCCGCTCGGCCAGAGCCTTGCCCAGCACGCCAGCACCATGGTGCAAGCAGAGCTGACGCTTTCGTTTGGCAGCCTCATTCTCTGCCGAGGCCTGTGGAATTCAGGCTCCTGTCTCTTGGCTGCTTTCCAGCTCAGAGCCCTTTGCAATGCCCTTGCTGCTGAGTCTGTGCAGACTTGAAGCGCGTGTCACCATACCCATATCTGCGGTGGAAATGCAGGCTTCTCCAGCTGGCTTATTCTGGGTCACCTAGCAGTGAAGCAAAGGCTGGCTATGAACTCAGCTCAAGTTTGTAGGGAGGCTGAGCTTGCACTTCAGTTGCAAACCAGAGTAATGCCCAAGTTCTTCTAACTTCACTGTCACTTGAATCGACAGTAGCAAGTTCAAGGTGGCCAGTCCAGGTTACAAGTAGACCTTTTGCCAGCGTGGGTATGCCGTGCGTGCCAAGTTAGCCCTGGAGCTGTAGGTAAGCTCGGTTCTCTGTTTGCCTTTTCAGTGGGATGACGAAACGGACATGGCAAAAATGGAGGAGTGCGTGCGCTCCATTCAGATGGACGGCCTGGTGTGGGGAGTCTCCAAGCTGGTGCCGGTCGGCTACGGCATTAAGAAGCTCCAGATCCAGTGTGTGGTGGAAGATGACAAGGTTGGGACAGACATACTGGAGGAGGAGATCACCAAGTTTGAAGACTATGTAAGTTAACCCATGTGCCAGGCCTCCAGGAGATTGTTCCGGCACCTGCCACGTGTTTGTGGCATATTCCCATTCTGCAAGGTTTATGTTTTCATTTAGAAAGAACTGAGGTTTTTTGGCCCCCTTGATTGGAGAGAACTCTTCCTCCAGCTCTTCACGGGAGCCCAGCCCTGTGCCACCTTGTTCATCAGGTCACCCCCCCCCTCCACCCGCTCTTATAGCGGTTGAATCCAAAGGGTCAGTTTTCACAATTAATTGGTACAGTTCCTGATTCTTCGAGACTACTGGAAACAGCTGCTCTGAGACCAGTGGACTCCCTCATTGTTCTCAGTGGACATTACCTGTAAAGTTTTAAATGTGACGTTTAAATTGCTGACCACTTTGGCCAAAGGGGTAGGGGCGAAGTTCATAGCAGAAGTGAGTGGGAAAGGGAAGGAACTGTGGCGCAAACAGGAAACATAAGCAGATAGGGACATAGGAAGGAGATGGAGGGCAGAAATGACCCATTTTCCCACTGGGTGATAAGGCACTGACAAATCAGTTTACTTTGTAAAGTCTGTCCCTGACCTGTGGTCTTTGTGAGATCTCACCATCTAACATCCTTGGGGGATCTTCTGTGGCCAGACGGGGGTGTGTATCGCCCCCAGCCTGCACCCTGGCCCAAGACTTCTTAGTAGTGAGGACTTGCTCCTTTCCACAGAATGCATTGGGGGACTGTTTTGATTTATAAACTTTTTGTGTTGGGGACCTGTTGCCTTTTATCCATTTGCGCGGTATCTGGCAGCTCTGGAGCTAATGATATTATCCGTAGTCTTACGATGCACCCCTTCCCAGGGCTGGTAAACTGCTGACTTAATGAAGGCAAAGCAGAATTCTGTTGGGAGCATTTTGGACGATTAAGATGCGTGCCGTCTGTTCAGCATTCACCCCGGCCAGGTTGCTTTCTGCCTGCCTGCTCTCAGGTCTCCATCAGCTTTTCTTGTTGTGTTGCAGGTCCAGAGTGTCGACATTGCTGCTTTCAACAAGATCTAAGAATAAACCTTTATCCTTTCTGAAACCGGCATGAATAAAGATCAAGGTTTCGAGCACAGATGGTGTGGGAGTGTTTCCTTATGTGAGAAGGTGCTGGCATCACAGCGGTCCTCTGAAACCTCACAGAAGCCAGAGGAAGCAGCTGTGGCGTATACAAAAAGTGGACATTTGTGTTTCATAGCTCCATTTTAATTCTCTATTTCACCCGAGCACTGGTTGGGAATCTGTTTCCTCTCTCACCTGAGACCGGGTGTACAACACTTCAGTTAAAATGTAGGACTTCTGTTGCATCTTTCCAAAGAAACCAGATTTGTCAGGGTCAGATTTCAGAGCTGAGCTTGGCTCCTGGTGAAACGAGGATGTTCTTTGGATGAATTTATATAATGCAACCAAAGGCTGCTCTAAATTCTGGAGCATTGCTGACCTGTTGCATAGCTTAAACCTAAGCCTGTTTAACATGAAGAAAGGCAGTTCGTTTTTAATCCTGTTTACTTACAGAAAATCAGATGATCCCCATCTTTTTCTGATTTCCTGGAACAGGTACTTTGACTGGCTGTGAAGACGGGGCTTGGCAGGGTGCGAGAGAGAATCTCTGGTAATTGCATTGATGTGAGGTGGTGCTGAGCACCTGCCCTTTCTGCATGCCGCTTTCACCTGTGAGCAGCCCGTTAGCTCTTGTTTTGCACTGAAATTCAAGGCTGTTAGCTTGGAGGGCAGCTTTAGCCAGGGCGTCACCACTTCCCTTTAGGATGCCAGCAGTCCACTGCCAGTTGAAATGCGCCTGTGCAAACCTACGTGACTAACAAATGAGACATTTAATCTGCTGGACGCCTGCCTTACCCTCAAAGAGCGCTAAACGCTGCCAGCCATCCCTGGTGTGAGAGTCGCTGGGCAAGGCTGAGTGCCATGAGTATCAGGACGGAGCGAAGCACGAAGCTGTGCTCTCTTACAGGTTTGGGGTTTGAGACTTGCACAGCAACTATAAAACTGCCTCTGTATTCCAGTGATACTTCGCAGACATCATGAGAAAATAACCTCTGTGCAGCAAGGGACCCCAGAATAACTCGCAGGTGTTTTTAAGCTTCGCCTTGGGATCTAGCCAAATCACCATGCTTGAACTGGCATACAGGAAGACAGGTTTTCACTGCATACTAGATCTGTTACTGCTAATCATTTTAAACTAGAAAGGCCCATTCTCCCACCTTACAGACTCCTGCTCGCTGCTAATGCGGTTTAACAAGGCACTGGTGCGTTGAGCTACGCTACCTTTCCTGAAGGTTTTGGTGCATTAGTGCTAGTCTTGCTCCAGAGCAATAACATGGTCTAGACAGACAACCCAGCTTGTCACGTGTCTCAGCTCTTCAGTGACCTGCATTCCTCATTGGTGGATGGCAGCAGGCTGGCTAGCGTGATCAGCCCTCTCTTTTGTCACCTCTTCCTGCTAAACAGATGGGTGAAGTGAAATTCATGTTTGCAAAGCACTTGGAAATCCTCAGATAAGCAGGATGTAGAAGCGCGCAGTAGTAGCAGTCTGTTTTGCTTCCCAAGTCCTATTGGCTGATGCAAACAAAGCAGGGAGCTGCTTAGACCCTGCTCTCACGTACTGTTGCATGTGTATTGACTTTTTATTTAAAGACTTCCTACAGGAGGCCGGGATGGCGTGGGTGCACGGGTGACAGCCCAGAGGTCATGGGTTTGAGGCTATAGCAGATGTGCTCACAGCACGGCCCTGTCAGATTCTGCTAAATGTGTGAGTTCTGCTAAGTACCTTGTCGCAAGGTCACAACAAGGGAAAAGATGGACTATGTCTACGTACAAATTGGACAGAGGAAGTGTGTGCGTGCATGCGCATGTCTGTGTTCTTGGTCCTATAGCAAACTTAATCTTTGATATAGACCAAGAGTTTCAGACTTAGCAGTCTTCATTGGCAGTCTCTTGATTTGAGGATGATTTCTACCACAGCTTAGTGTAGAAAGCGAGGGTTGAAGGTAGCTCAGGAGGTCACATCTAGTCCAACCCCCTGCTCCAAGCAGGACCAGCCCCCAACTACATCATCCCAGCCAAGGATTTGTCTACCTGGGGCTTAAACACCTCCCAGGATGGAGACCCCACCACCTCTCTGGGTAACCTGTCCCAGTGCTTCACCATCCTCCTAGGGAAGAGTTTTCCTAACATCTAACCTCAACTTCCCTTGCTGCAAGTGGAGACATTGCTCTTTGTTCTGGCTTACGGATGGGTATTGAGGTGACTTAACAGTCCAAGCCTTGCGCCACTGATCTGTCTGCAGAAGTTGCAGGTTTTTCCACAGGGACGAACAGGCCAGAGGCTGGGATTCCTCTCCTTTTCCTTCCTCCGCTCGCTCCTCCCCTTTGAGGGTGAGACGCTTCACCTCGAAACAGGCTGCTGCTTGGTTGAGGTTTTGCTGTCATTGGAGTCCGTCAGCAGCCAGCTCCTCCCAGCTCCTGATGTTGGCATCTGTTTTCTTGAGGTCTGCCTTCAGTGATCCTTCGATCTAGACCACAAGTTTCAGACGCTGAGTAGGCCACGTCCTAACAGACCAATGAAGAGCCCAAAACAAGGGGAAAAGAGCCAGAACCCGCTCCCTTGCCCAAGCCAGCGTCCCACGGGCCCCCAGCAAGCGCTTCGGTGACTATAAAGCAAAGGGCACTGGCCTGCTAAGGCTACCGTTCATCCACAGCTAGCAGAGAAACCCCGTGATGATTAAGGTGCATATTTCAATCAATCCTGGGGCACTGGTGTGAAGTGCCAGCTGGTTTGGAAGGAAACCCTGTACTGACAAAGCCTGGGCTGGGATGATGCAGTTGGGGATGGTCCTGCTTGGAGCAGGGGGTTGGATTAGATGTGACCTCTGGAGGTCCCTTCAACCCTCATTTTCTATAATACTATAATTAGATTAACATATAATACTAGAATTATTTCTATAACTCTATCAGAGAATGATAAAGGCAAGTGGGATGACCTGGGTGGTGACAGACCTGTCGGCCAGATACTGGAGTGGCTCCACAGAGGACTTGATTAAGGAAGAATTTAAAAGGGGGTAATGTCATGAATGGGGTTTATGGAAAATGCATCTTATTGAACTGACTTCACATCTTCTCCTCCTTTGACGAGACCACAAGCTAATAAAGGTAATCATGTCAATGTGATGTTTTCCTAGGCTTCTCCACGGCGCTAGCTCTGGAGTTAGCAATTTGAGGAGAGGCTGCCAAACTAGAGACAAGAGCTGTAAGGAATGACTGAAGTATTATTGCCTTGAAGCAGAAGTGTGTGCGCTCTAGCTTGTCCAAGGACAAGGCTAGGAGGTGACTTCGTTTGCCATTTCTATGTACCGAAAGAGGGAATGGAGATTGGATAACGTGGCTCTTCCATTCATCAGGTAAAAGCATAATAATCCAGGCCGGGAAGGTGAAGCTGGATGAGCCCGCGGTCGCTGTTGTAGTCGCCGGCCCCGGGACCAGGAGTTACCCTTGGCAGCGCGGGGACGGATGGCGCTGGCTATGATGCCGCCCGTCCCAGCAGGAGCTGCTCTGGTTAGACGGGGGATTAACTCCCATTCAGACCCACGTAAAAAGGGCCGGCAGGCAAAGCAGTGCTTTGCTCTAGGGCCGTGGGTTCAGGTTGTGCTCAAGGCCTGGCCCAGTCGACCCCGCAGGATGAGGCCCTTTGGGTGGGGAGTCCAAGGCAGCAGGGCATGCTGGCTGCGGACATGGGGGTGCCGCAACCGTCCTGTCCCTGGGGGCTGCTGGTTGGGAGTGGGCGTTTCACAACCGGGGCCTGTCTTGCTTTGCTGCAGCTTCATCGTCCCCACTGACGGACCCCAGCAAGCAAGTCTCCCTTGCAGGTAGCAAACCAGAATTGGCCGAAGGGCGCTGGTTTTGATGCCACGGGGACATGAATAAGGAGCAAAGCGTGGCCTTGTGCTGTGGCCTTGTGCTGTTCCCAGCCCTGTCCCTTGGTCTTGGCTCGAGCTGTAGGAGCGCAGGTCGCGCTAGGCTGTTGTTACGCTGAGTTACGGTTAAGTGAAGGCACCCCAAAGGGCCTCGGCAATAGCAGCTTTGCTGTCTGCGGCCTGAGAAAAGGCTGGCGCTGCTCAAACGCAGCCAGGGAGCGAGCCAGAACAGCCCGAGCTCGAGATGCCCGAGCCCGGCAAGGGGCGGCTGCAGGGGGAAGCGCTCTGCCCCTGCACCGGGACAGCTCGCTTCGCCTGTTGATTTCCACCCCGTAAAAGCGGCTTAATTCCCTCGCTCTGGGGGTGGAGAAGCTGCTGCCTGCCTCGTGCTCGGGGCGAGCAGGTGGGCCAGGCCGGGGCTGGCGTGGGAAGTGCGGCTCAGGCCTGCACCGCGAGCTGCTGCAACGCTGCCCTTCAGCGCGGCATCCACCCCGCGCAGCCCGAAAACAGGCCTCGGCAGCATTTTTGGGTCGAGTGCCAAAAACACCGGCACCCTTTGACTTGTGAGATGTTGGCGCGCCGGGGGAGCCACGAGCGGCCTGATCCTGGTGGCGGCGCAGCCCTGGCCCCTTCCCCGCCATCTGCCCCGGGCCTAATCCCGGTGCCTGGGGAGCCCTGCCGGGGGACTACAACTCCCAGGGGCCCTTGCAGCAGGCCCCGGCTGCCATTGGCTGCAGGCGGCCACGTGGCGCAGCCGCTGAGCCCGGCCTCCCACGTGGGTGGCTGCAGGATGGAGGCCGGGCGGCGCGGCGGGCTGGCGCTGCTCACCGACCTCTACCAGTTCACCATGGCCTACGGCTACTGGCGGGCAGGGAGGCACCGGGAGCCGGCCGAGTTCGAGCTCTCCTTCCGCAGGTGCCCCTTGCAGGGGGGCTTCGTGCTGGGCGCGGGGCTGGGCGAGTGCCTGGCTTTCCTGCGGGGCTTCAGCCTGTCGCAGGCAGGTAGGGGCGCGCTGGCGCACGAGGCCTTCCTCGCCGCGCGGTGCCGGCGGCTGCAGGGGAGAGGGCGCCGCCTGCCCGGGCCGCCGGCACCGCTGCGCCGCGCTGGTGCTGCAGCGCTTGTGCTCGGTCTCACGGGCCAGGTCTCACTTTTCATGTCTGGCCTTGAGTTGTTTAGCGGCTGTTTCCGTGCCCCCTTCGGCGCCTTTCTGCTTGGTAGTGCCCTTTAATGGTGTTTTCTTGCTTCCCGGCTCATCCGGCCTTTCTCCCACGCTGCTTTTTGGCCTCGGCGCTGCCCCTAGCGTAGCATGGCTCCGGCCTAGCGCGGCGGGAGCGCCTGGCGGGGCTGCCCTGCTCGCCGCCCCGTTGCACCGGCCTTCCCGGGGATCGTCGGGCTCTTTGCACCAGCCGCCTGGCCCTGACGTTGCAAGGGAAGGTGCGAGCCGGGGCCGGCGTGGTCTGTGCTGTCTTGCATTAGCTGCAAGGTTCGCTCCCTGGACCTCTAAAGCAGCTGGCGTTTTGGGCACGGGGCTGGAGCTCTGCCTCCTCCCGCTCTTGCTGCTCCAGATGCTTTCTCCCCTCCTGGTTTTCCCAGCATGTGTTAACCCTGTCTGGGGTGTGGGTTATGCCGCGACGCCGGCGGTTTCCCAGCCCTGTGCTGCTATCCGGGTGCAGCTCTTCCCCAAACCCGCTCCCCCTGCGAGCTCAGATCCGCGCCCGCCTCTGGACCGAGCTGAGACGCGAAGTGAGACCGGATGCGACCGGCGGGGCCAGCCTGGCCGCTGCGTGTCCCCCGCTTGCCGTGGGGCTCGGTGAAAGCGGGTAGGAGCAGAGAGGGTGCGATCAGGGCCCCAGTCCTGCCTCAAGGCTGGTGGCCCCTGCTGTTCTCTGGCTCAGCCCCCGTCTCCCTGCAGACATTGAATACCTGCGGTCAGCCCTGCCCAGCACCACGGACGAGGCCTTCTTCGATTACCTGAGCACCGTGGACACCTCGGAGGTCACCGTCGCGGCTGTCCCCGAGGGCTCTGTCGTCTTCCCCAGGGTGAGTGTCAGCTGGAGCCGGCTGCCAGGCCCAGAGCAAATCTGGGTGAGCAGTATGGGCTGGTGGGGAGAGCACTGCCCAGGGACAGGGGATGCCCAAGCTCTGGGAAATTTGCCTCGACTCCCTGCCTCAGTTTCCCTGCTCCGTATACCACGTGGCATCCTCCTTTGACATGCACGGAGCAAACGGCCCAGTGGCATCACCGTTGGGAGCGCTGGCACATGCCGTATTGTTCCCACGATATGTCAACCCCGCACTTTTAGGGAGAAACCTGGAGGGAAAAGTCCTGGAGGTGCTCTCGCCCTCACAGGAGGATCTGCTCCCCAAAGCAAGGTCCCAGAGGGTTACAGGCACTAAAAATACTAGCATCCCAGTCAAAGAGATGCTCGAATTGTTGGCCCACAGCTCAGCAAACCAAGTCCATGTCAGCCCAGACATGCCGGAGAAACAGGGTTCATTGAAACGAGGCCGTGGGAGAGACGCCGGGGAAGGGGGGAGCACGGGCCATGCCAGGGAAAGGAGATTTAGGAGCCGGGTTGCAGAGGGGAGGCAAGGCTGGCCACCCCTGGCCTGGGGCACAGGGGCGTTTTGCCCCCTTTCCCCGAGCCTGGTAGCACCCATCTCACCTTCCAGCATGGTGGTTCAGGACCAAAGTGTGGAGGGGCTGAGGGCTCAGGGCAGGGGACCAGGCCGAAATGCAGTGGCCTGGAGGTCAGACCAGCTGGTCTAACAGTGCTGCTGGCAGAGGATAGGATGACGGGGATGAAGCAAGCAGCAAAGGAGGGTCCTAGCGGTGAGCACAGGCTGGGTCCTGGAGGTGCGGGGGGAGCGCAGGGGCCAAGCGAGGTGATGCTGCTGGGGGGGACGTGCAAGGGGAGACATGGGGCTCCAACCCCCCGTCCTCTGGGCAGGTCCCGCTGCTGCAGGTGAAGGGGCCCTTGCTGGTGGTGCAGCTGCTGGAGACCACGCTGCTGTGTCTGGTGAACTACGCCAGGTGATGCTCGGGGCTGGGCGCAGCGTCCTGGCGCGTGGGTTTGGGGCCGATTGGGAGACGGGGTGGGGGGCAGGTCCTGGGGGGTCCCAGCAGGCATGTATGTCCCCACTGGGTTTTGCTCGCACCCTCCCTACCCAGCGTTAACCCCTGCGGGCCCCTGGCCAGCAGCTGGGAGCTCTGGGATCGGGGCCGTCTCCCGCGGGGTCTTGCCTGGTGCTGGCGCCAAGCCGATATGTGGGGTTTCTCTCTTCCAGCCTTGTGGCCACGAATGCCGCCCGCTTTCGGCTCCTGGCCGGTCCGGACAAGAAGCTGATGGAGATGGGGCTGCGCCGGGCCCAGGGCCCCGATGGAGCCTTGTCTGCTTCCAAGTACTCCTACGTGGGGGGTAAGCCGAGCCCACGCACCGGCTCCTCGCGGCCTGCCCGAGCTGCGCCGGCTGCGCCTGCACCTGCCCCCTTCCCCGTCTGTGTTGCAGGCTTTGACTTCACGAGCAACGTCCTGGCGGGGCAGCTGTTTGGGATCCCGGTGCGCGGCACCGTGGCCCACTCCTACATCACGTCCTTCTCAGTGCTGGCCGAAGCGCAGCCCCGGGTGAGTGCGTGGCAGAGCCCCCCCACGGCCAGTCACCTGGGATCGGTTCGGGGGGGGTGGTCCTTGGAGCAGCCCTGCCAGGTCCACGAGGGATGCACTGTGTCCCCTGCAGATGCTGGCGCCCCGGGCCGGAGGCGAGCCGGTGGACTTCCCGTGCCTTGCCGCAACGTGGCTGGAGCGGGTCTGCCAGCTGCTCTGCGTGCCCCGGGAGGGGGTGAACGAGGGGGAGCTGGCAGCGTTCATGTCCTACGCCGTTGCCTTCCCCTGCAGCTTCCAGGGGCTGGTGGACACCTACTCTGTCATGAGGTGAGGCCCGCGGCTGCCTCCAGGCACACGCGGGGCTCCCCGAAGCACCCCACACGTCCCAGCTCGGTGGCTGCAAGCCCGCCCGTCTCCTGTCCTGGCTTCGTGCAGGAGCGGTGTGCCCAACTTCTGTGGCGTGGCGCTGGCGCTGGCCCAGCTGGGGTACCGCGCCATTGGCGTGCGCCTGGACAGCGGGGACCTCGCCCGACAGGCAGCTGAGATCCGCCGCGTGCTTCGCGCCTGCAGTGTTGAGTGAGTGGGGCGTGCGGCTGGGGCACGTGGCATGCCTGCGTTCAGGGAGCTGAGGCGTTGGCTGCCTCTCAGCCCTGTTGGGAGGAGATTTTTCCGGAGACCTAAGGGGTTTAGGCACCCCATGGGGGGGGACCCTGCCCCAGGGCCCGTGTCCAGCTGCACAGGGATGCCTTCGGGGAGGCATTGTCCAGCTGCGAGGTCCCTGTTGCGATCCTGCTGCCCTGGTCGCAGCTTCTTACGCCTCCTCTGTGCTCCTGCCCAGGTTCCAGCTGCCCTGGTTCGAGGCTGTCCCCATCGCGGTGAGCAACGACGTCAGCGAGCAGAGCCTGGAAGCCTTCGGCAGGGAGGTCAGGCATGGGCCAGGGGTCGGGGGGCCCGGCAGGTGCTTGAGGCAGGAGCAAACCTGTGGTGCCTCTTTGGACCCCGCCGGGGATGGTGGCTCTACCCCAGTGCCCTTGGAGCCCGGGAAACCCTGACACAAACCTCCCCTGGGTCCGGAGCTGCCTCGTGCTGCGTATCCAGGCCCGAGGGGACCCACAGCGCCGGCGGTTCTTGTCCCTTCAGGGCAGCGACATCGACATGATCGGGATCGGGACCCACCTGGTGACCTGCCCACGGCAGCCCTCGCTGGGCTGCATCTACAAGGTGACGTCCCGGACCCTGCGGAGTTGGCTGTGACCTGCAAACGCTGCCCGGGGCTCTGTCCAGGGTTGGCCGTAGGAACCGGTCCCCTCCGTGCACCCCAGCTCCTGCCTTGAAGTCTGCGATCGGGGCGGCAGAGCCCCATGTCCATGCTTGCTCCCCGTGGGCACGGCCCGTGAGACGTCCTGGGCGCGATGTCCTAGTCACCGGCGGATAGGAGGCCGGCAGTCCGGCTGCGGGGGCTGCTCTGAGCCTGGGGGTCTAGGGAGGGTCGGCCTGGGAGAGCGGCCCTGAGGTGTGTCGTCTCCTTGTTGCTTCCTGCCGCAGCTGGTGCAGGTGAGCGGCCGCCCGCGGATGAAGCTGACGGAGGAGGAGGAGAAAATGACGCTCCCAGGGTGCAAGGCAGCGTACAGGCTCTGGGATGCCGCGGGTGAGCTGGTTCGTCACGGCTGGGCTCTGTGGCCCCCTCCCAGGAGGGTGGCACCAGCTCGAGGGCTGTGTGGAGGGAAGGGGAAGGAGTCCAGTCCTGCTCAAGGGAGGATCGGCCCTGTCCAAGCTAGCCCAGCTAAACTTTGCAAAACCCCCCTTGGCCCCAACGCACGACATTGCACCCGCCCCCGCCCCTGGGAAAGCAGGGGGACCGCGGCAGCCAACTTCCCGCTTGTTAATAGCACCAAGGATGACTGCAAGGTGCTAGAGAGGGATGAGACCCTGAGGCTCAAATACAGAAGGGGGGTAACCGGCTGGGCCGTAGCGCTGCTGAGAGGGAGCGCGGGGCTTCTCGGTCTCCGAGAGTTAGCAATGGGATGCAGTCTGGGGCTCTAGGAACTGAAGTTTTCATGCAGCACGTGGGAAATGAGTTGTGCTCGGCCTCAGCTGGGCTAGCGTGCGCTACGCCGGGCTCTGCCTTTTAAGAAGGATGTAGAGAGTCTGGAAGGGATTGAGCGGTGGAAGATGAAGATGATATGGGGATAGGTGGGCAGCCCTACACGCCAGGAAAGGTTGGGAGAGCCAGGCGCGTCGAGCTCGGGGTGCAGGAGGCGAAGGGGGACACGACAGTCTTCACATCAAGGGCAGTGATCCCCTGCTCTGTGAAGCCCTGACGAGGCCTGGGTCCCATCCCGGGCCCTGCACTTCAAGGAGGACACGCACTGTTTGGAAAGAGTCCAGCGCCGGGTCCCAGAAATGATCAGGGGCTGGGGGTAAAGACTGGCAAGGGTTGGAAGAGCTGGGGGGGCTGAGGCTGCAGAAGAGAAGACTGGTAACAGTCTCCAAATCCCTGAAGGGTGTTTACAGAGAGGATGGAGACGGGTTTTCCCCTGAGACTGTCGCGGACAGGACTAGGAGCAGTGGCTTCAAGCTACAGCATTTGCAATCTCCAACCCCCCTCCCCAAAACCGTTGGGGGGGACGGCCCCTGCTTTGGCTGATAAGGGTCTTGCATGGCTGGGGGGAGCCGTGGGACTGGATCTCCAGCTTGCACCCTGGAGCCGGGCTGGGCGTGCAGACGGACAGGAGAGTGGGCGCTGGCTGAGCTAGCCGAGCTCTCCGCCTCGCGCCTCCTGCCCCAACCTCTCTGCATCGGGGCAGCTCGCTTCCTGGCTGACACCTACCTTGCCTGCTCCTCACAGGTCACCCCTTCATGGACCTCCTGGCTCTGGCGGACGAGAGTCCCCCCCAGGCAGGGCAGGAGCTGGAGGTCTGGGTGCTGGGGGGAAGCCTGGAGGCTCTGAGAGTGATCCCTGCGGCGGCGGAGACCCTGCATCGCACCTACTTCAAAGATGGGCAGGTCAGGAGCACCCTTCCCCCCTCCTCTTGCCCTGTGCAAGCGCCTCTCTCCTGCCCCTGGCTGTGATCTCCTCGCCCCCGGGAGCCACGGAGAGTCAGGCGGGTCTGTGCATGGAGGAGAGTCTCTGGGAAGCGCCCCCAGCCCCACCTGCCCTGCTGAGACCTAGCAAACTTGGCATCCTGAGCACAAAGAAATAGTGGCCTTGAAATCAGCAGTGGTGCAGGTGGAGAGGGGAGACGGGGCAGGGAGCAGGTAGCTGAGACATGTCCCAGCGACCTGGGGAGCAGAGAGCACTCATGGCACAAGTGGCACGAGGCAGGAGCAACCCCCCAAGCCAGTTTGGGGGAAGAGTCCTACCAGGCCCTGGGTTTGACCCTGAGCAAGACACGTTGGGCTGGCGGCAGGGAGGTGCATTAGCCCCAGGGGGAGAAGCAGCAGGCTCTACACCCCTCCTGTCCCCAGGATGCTTTGGAGGCAGGGGCCCTCACCCCCACACCATGCTGTGCACTGAAGGGAGAGGAGGGGCGTTTCTCGCCCCCTCCACAGAACTGTGTCCTACAGCTGGAGATTGACGGATGGGCCGGGATCTACTCGGGTGCCATGTCAGTGCAGTGCGCTGAGCTCTGGGCGCATGGGGCACAGGGGCTGGGGTCAGGAAAAGCAAGATCCCTGAGCTCCCCCTGCTTGGCCCACCCAGGGCCCCCTCCTCTTGCACAGCCACCATGGAGGGGATCATCTGGAAACCTGCCTTTGGGCCTGCTCTATGATCAGCCCCAGGTTCCCACAGCAAGGGACTGTGGGACAGTGCAGGTGCAGTGAAGAGGGCAGAGAGAAGGACCTGGCTCTCCCAGCAGAATTGAGGGGTTGGACCTCAGGTCCAGCTGCCTGTGGAGCTGGCTGCCTTCAGCCCTGGGCTGGCCTTGCTGTGCTCTAGGAACAGCCACTGTGCTCCACCCCAGAAGTGGCTGCATGTGGCCAGCAGAGTTCATACAGAGAGGGAAAAATAAAGGGGTGCAGGTGCCTTCAAAGCCAGCTGGAGGGAAAGGCAGGGTGAGATCAGCCATCAGCCCCCATGTAAACCAGCTTGCTGTGCTCTTAGCAGGTTGCTCTGGCCTGCAGTGCGCTGCTCGGGGCAGCTTTGCTGAGAAGAGATCAGGACCCCGGGAACACGTCTCGGGGTGTGGGGCTTGGGACCTGGTGCTCCCTGCCCCCAGGAGCATTGCACACAAGCCAGGAACTCTGCACACCACTCCGTGCATGTGTGTGTGTACCATTAATCTCAGCACGTACACACCATTTAATCAATGTATACATTAATTTGTGTGTGCGTGTGTACATTGTAATCTGGGTATATGCATTTAACTTGTGTATGCACCATTTAATCTGTGTGCACACCATTTACTCTATCTATGCACCATTTAATCGGTGCATGTTTACGTGTGTAATCTGTGTGTGTGCGCGCGCACATCATTTAATCTCTGTGTGTACACCATTTAATATGTACGTATGCACAATTTAGTGCATGCATGTGTTCATCTGTGTGTACAGCTGGGCTCTGATCAAAAACAGCAATCCTGAGGCGGCGGCAGGAGTTTTGTATGCTAGGGGAGTTTTCCGAAGCCGAGGCCCTGCTCCCGGTTGGAAGGCCGGCGGGAGGGGGAAGGGAAGGAGCCGTGTCCTGCCTGGGTGTTGGCACCTGGCTCAGTCAGGGAAGGGGGCTGGAGGGCCCAGCTGGGGCAGAGAAGTGGGAGCCAGGACCCCTGTTTTCTCTCTCCTGCTCTGCCACTGGCTTGCTGAGGGACCTTGGGCAAGTCCCAGCCTGGCAGGGCTGAGGCTCCTTTAACCCATCTGCCCCCTGATTCTCCCGCTCAGGTTTGTGAGCTGCTGCCCAGCCTGCTGGCGATCAGGAGCCACGCCGAGGCCTCCCTGCGCTCACTTGGTCCTGCTCACAAGAAGCTGCGGGAGCCTGAGGCCTACCAGGTGGGCAAGCTGGGATCACAGGGCAGCGAGGGGTGCTGGCACGGGTCTCGCCTGTCCCTGCCCTGCGAGGGGTGTGCGCTGGTCTCTCTCCCAGGCGGTGATGGATGTACTGACTGGCTCCTTCCCTCTCTGCTCCCAGGTGGCCATGACAGAGAAGCTGCATGCCCTCCTCCAGGACCTGTGCCAGGCCAGCCAGTGAGCGGTGCCTGCGGGTCCAGGTGAGGCGCAGGGCCTGCTGCAGCTTGCCAATGCACCAGCCCGGCCTCAGGTGCAGCTCTTCCCTGGATTTCTTACAGGCCCTGCTTGTCCAGCATCCTCATGACTTTGCTCCCTTGAGTGCATTGCCCTGCGGGGATGGCTGAAACCACAGCCCTGGGGGCAGAGGGGAAGGAGAGGATTTGAAAAGCTAGGGGAAGAGCTGATGCCCGGTAGATCCCAGCTCCCTATGGTATCCCCTCGAGTGGGCAATGCAGCAGCTTCTCCTGGTCTTGCTGTCTGAGATCGCATCTGACCAAGTGGGCTGTTGCTGGTCAAAGCTCGTGCCTCTCCCCCGCAGGCGGTCGAGGTCCTGCCTTGCTTATGAAGGCCTGGCAGCATGATAAGTGCCTTGCAGGCATGTGCCTTTTGCTGAAGGACCCACTGCAGCTCCAGCAGGTGGGACCAGTTTCAGGTAGCGATGTTCAGGGGAATGGTCCTAGCTTACGTCCTGCAGGTGAAAGACTAAGCCTGTGATTCTCAAGCAAAGCACCCCAGGGTGCTGCAAGATCCTTTGAAGCATGCCACCAGCTGATGCACAAGGTTAGCACTGCAAGGTGTGCAAAACACCCCCGCGTCTCAGGATAAACCTAGATTTCAAACAGGAACTGAGTGTCCAAAGCACTCTGCCATGCCAGGGTCCCTCCAAGCTGTGCCACACAAGGATGGCTCTCAGGTTTTCTATAGGAAACAGCTGGTGTTTGCCAAGTTTGAGAAGGGCTGGGCTGGACTCTCGTCCTGATGCAGCGCTGCCTTAAACCCTGTATGAATATTCACATGCGTTTTTATTCCTCTCAACGAGCTTCAGTAGCTAGGAATTATTTGGCGCTCAAAGCAATGTGCAGTCCTGTGCCTTAGCCCACGTAGGGGGTTTTAGCACGGCGCTCTCAGGCTGAGCTGCCTGGCCACAGAGACCGCAACTGGGCTCTGACCAGGTTTCGTGGAAGAGGTCGGATGGCATGAGCATCCCCTGTGCAATGCTGCTTCAGGAACTGGCTAAATGGGAAATGCTGGGCTGCGGCTGACTCTCCAGTCACGCACTACTGAGGGAGCAGGCTTTTTTGGAGCATTTCCTACTTCCAAGCAAGCAGTGAGCCCTATTTTTGCAGAAGAGCAGTGGGGGATAGGGGTGGGCTGCCAGGAGCCGATGCAGGAAGAAAATCAGCCAGTGCTTGTCTCCCTACCTGTGTCTGCTTCTGCTAGGGCAGCATTTCTGGGAAGAGCCTGGGAGGAGAAGCTCCTGCCCCACTGGGGGTAACAGCTCCCATTTCAATCTTTGCTGTCAGTGTTGCACTTAGACACTGGAAAACAAGACGTCTTTCCCTGTTGTGGCTTGTCCTTTGCTTCTCCATTGGGGGGTGGGGTTGGGGGGAGTCAAGGGAAGGGAAAAGGGGGTGCACTTTGAGTCTGCAGTCACGTGCATCACACTGAGCGTCTGTGCCCTCGCCATGCAGGGCGGCAAACACACAGCTCCCCCTCTCCTCTGTAACCGCACCTCTGGAGCTGGGTGCAGCTTCCCAAGGAGGCTGCAGCTCCTCCTTCCCAGTATGCCATGTACTCTCCCCATCCCTATAGGCTCAGGGGCTGGGAGTCCTCCTGGAGCTCAGCCTGGGCACCCCCAATCCAGTCCCCTGCAGCTCCTCCATACCTAGTCACCGTCTTCCCTTTCACCAAGCCCTGGAGCCCTCTCAGACTCATACTGACACCTCCCCTCCATTGCTGATCCTTTTCCACCTGCCACAGCTGGGCTGAGGGCAAAATTTTGCCTCCTTTTACAACCAGGCCACCTCTTTCCATTGCCTGGGGACTCCATCAGGGCTGGTGGGGAGTGGTTCTGGCCTGGGGACTCCACTCCCCTTACAGCCAGGGTGTTTCTAGGAGGGTTATTTTAGTCCCTGCTCTCCCCGCTGCTCATTCAGGAGGAGCCTTGTTCCCTGCATCTCCTGTGCCTCATCCCAATGGGCCCTGGGGTCACTACTGCCCAGAAAACAGCTGAGATGGGTGCACAAAAGGAAGAGCACTGCTGCTGCTTCGCTGTGCGCAGCGCCATGCACTTGCACCCCGTGCTGCAGGAGGCTGGAGAAGGGCTCTTGGAGGGAAATCCACCACCTTTAGCTGTGGGCCTGGAGCAGGGAAGGAGAATGAAGTATTTGGGCAGAAAACAACATTAGCATCAATGGGACGAGTGCTCAAGGGGGTTAAAAATGGAGCTATTGTCCCTCCTCCCACCACCCATCTACCTGCTCTCCAGGCTCCTCCAAGTGCTAGGACCATGACCAGGTATGTGGCCCCAGCCCTTCCTGGGGGAGTCCGAGTCCCGTCTTCTCCTCACAATGATCCAGTCCCCACAGACGAGGCACTGGAAGAGCTGAGATTTTTCCCTTAGGGTACAGTGCAGCTTTTACTCTTCTGGATCACCCCGACTCGTGGCAAGTGGCACCACGGAGGCGCGGGAGGAGAAGACTGGGGGTAACTGGCTGGCAGCAGCACTGAAGGCACCTAAAATGAGTCTGGCTTCATGCGTCATGGGGTCAGCTTAAAATCCCTCTGCTTACTTTGACAGAAGGGTTCTCAACCTTTCTGGACTTGAGGCACCCCTCCAAAACCCTTGAGACACGAGCAGCACCCTGCTCGCAAAACTCATTTATATGACAGCACTTCTACCTCCTTGCCAAAGGACTGGGCAGTGGGGGATCATTCAGCAGAGACAAACCTGAGTTTGCTTTTTTAATCAACTTATCTACGTTATCTCCTGGCACACCTCAAAGGATCTGGCAGCATCCCTGCGCCATCCCAGCTCCCTGAATCACCATTTTAGTAGAACAGAATACATTGCAATTTTCAAAGACCTGGGGACTGTGTAGGGCAGAGGACTCACAGCTCCAGCTTGGGAAAGTGTTGCAGACAGACACTTGCACTCACATCAGCTGCGTGAAAGGCTCTATTTAAAAGACAATTTGTACATTAAACTAGTATCACCCATTACACTGAATGGAAAAAAGTCAGCGCAAAAGGTATTCCCAGAACCCGCCTTCCACAAACTAATACGTTAAGGCAAAATGACAGAAGCCAGCTGAAAAAAAAAAGGCATTAATCCTCATATGAGAAGCAAGCTGCACAACATACAGGGGGATTAAATAGTACAGAAACCCTCAAATGAACCACAAGCCACTGAGGGCACAGGGAGCAAGGTTAAACACAAAAGGCTTCTGGTCTGAGTTATTTGTCAATCGTTGCAGCAGCAATTGATGTGCACTTACTTGGAATAACCCAGCAGGGAATGCTGATGACAGGAGCTTGGATTTTCAGTGTTACGGTGTTAACTTACAGAGTCACAAATCGCTCGTCACTCACAGGCCAAAAACCATGCATTCACTCTGGCACCAACGGTCTCAAAATAAGAAATCGCCACAGCTACTCCTGACCCGAACGCAATGAAAAGGGAGTCCGGCTGGATGCATGCAGCCCCTGCGAGCATTGTTGTGATAAGAGAAATCCAGTTACAAAACTATTGAAAACTGCACTGTTATTTCTGCAGCGAGTGTGGAAGAGGGAAGGGAAGCACAGTGGAAATCAAGATCAGCTCTGCAGAGTCAAGGGAACACAATGCCTAGGCCTCTGGCTCCCTTTAAATAAAATCAGAGTAGGATGGTATTGCCGGCTCAGACCACGTTATGCATAAGGCACTTTGGTTTGCTAGAAGAAGTGTCATGTGCTTAGCACAAGACAGAGAAAAGACAAGTAAAAAGAGCGGTTTGCCATTAAACATTTATGCTGGGAAATCCCAGCGTGCTGCATAGTCAGAGGGCAGGATTCTGGCTCTGTGAGACCCTGGAGAAAATGTCCTGAGTTCTTAGGAGAAGCTGTAGAAACAGGTCACTTAGGGCTGACAAGGAAGAGAACATGTTAAGAGGAAAGGCAATCTCAGATGAAGAAGATGGGGATAAAGAGCCGAGACAGATCATCAAGACCAAGAGAGGAGAAGACCATTTCTAGCGCTCTGCGGATTGTAGGGAATAGCCAGGGCAATTAACAGGTCAGCTTAGAGCAGAGACAGCCAGACCTTAAGTATGAACAACCTTCCAGGGGCTCTAAATCCTACGGAGAAGGGAAAAAAAGAGCTGGGAAGAGATTTGGTTAAAAGGGATCCTGTTCATTTGCAAGGGAACCCTGCAAGCAAAAGCTACCACTGGTCAGTCTCCTGCTTTTCTGAGACAGAAGCTTGAAACTTGTGGCTGCAGAGCAGACTGTGAAGACAGAAGCTCGGACTTGGACACAGAAGCAAGCGCCTGCAGCAGACGTCAGCAGAAACAGACCATGTTCTCAGCTGGAACCAGGGGAAGTTTTAAAGCGACTGTAACCCAGAGCCTTCAAGCATGCTTTCTAGAGAAAACACCACCTCTGCCTCAGGACACCTGCATTTGGAGGATGGAAGACAACCGTCACTTCACCGACCGCTGGCAGCCAACTGCTCGCCTCTTCTCCCTCAAATTGATGGGCATGAAAGCTTCAGAATCAGGGTCCATGGCTTTATCTTATTACACTGCCCAAAGCACATCACCTCCCATACAGCACTAAGAAACCCCAAAACGTCATTCCTGGGGATGATGAGAACAGAGGATTCAGCACAGATTTAAAGGACGCGAGTGCAATTTGGAAGCGGGCAAAGCACTCGCGAGTCTCATAGCAGTGGGAATTGCAACGCTCAGTACCAGTCAGGAGCAGACAATAAAGGACAGAAACTTCAAAACTTGCTCCAAATTTCCCAGCGTGATCCCAACTTAACTTTCTCTGCATATGCTTGGAAAGTCAACTCTGAGAACCGTATTCACCCTAGTTGTCAGGGCTTTTTGGCAAGGTCAGGTTCATGACTATGCTACTCATCTTCCCCTGACAGATGAAATCGCCCCCAATACTTATTAGGGAAATAGGATAATACCTTTCAAAATGGGCATATTAATTGAGAAGGTCACTGAAGAGCTCCATTAGAGGTATAATACTGCTACCAGCTAGAAACTAGGCTTAGTGTTTGGTTGGTTAAGAATAGCAGGTTTCTATTCAGAAGACCCACTCTGTTGTCACCAGAGCCCAAGACACAGGCTGAATGCCCCCACTTGCACTGGGGATTGTGGCATCTGGTCCCATAACGTACTGCATTATTCCACAGCAGTGACCAAGTCCATACAGCAGTGATCCGGTCTGATCCAAGCAGCACCGTTCACAACGAAGCACCGTTCCATGCTGCAACAGTTATGCTTCGTGTTAAAAGAAGGGAGAAGCAGGTAGCTGCAATCAGCCCTGATCTATGCCATTTAGCTGGGCCCAACATGTTCTTGACAAGCCATCAACATGGCCTTTCACTAGATGAAGTCTGGGCAAGCCATCCCGCAGCATGGACTCCCAGTGGCTTCCTACCCCCACTGTGAGAACCACATTTTATTGTGGACTGGAGGGGCAAATGTGCTGATCTCCATAACAGCATTTCTTAAAGACTAAACACACACCAATGCATCCTAGACCAACGCCGACTCTTATTCCTGGTACGAGCATAAAACCGTAATGCATTCATTTAAATAAAAGAAAATTCTAGGGATTTTTCTTTGGTTAGCGCTCTTTTACATGTACCTTGGGAACATTAAGAAAAAGGGGAATAAATTTTGAATTGACAAGACATCCCTACCCTCCAATCAACTGCATATACTTTGAAGAAGGAAAAAATGTGTTGTCTTCCTTGATATTATTCTGAAAAAAATATATTTGTGCAAAGTGCATTCCTGGCTCAAATCAACTCTAAACTAGTCTCAAGCCAAGTTTCATGTTTAAAAAAAAGGGAAGACAGCCAAGAGAAAATGGTGGTGGACTGGGTGGTGGGGGATGGGGAGCAGAAGTAAAGAAACACTAGTTATAAATAAGCTAGGGCTGGTATTTGTTCACTGTGGATGTTCAGAACGGCCCCTGCCACGGAGATGTTTGGACTGGAGTTCACATTTTAGAGTATTGCCAGTCTAGAAATTCCCTTCCCGAGACATCTGACTCCTAACTGTGTAGAAGGACATCACATTCATTTGCCCATGTGATGAGATATGTCGCACAGAGATCCAGTTCCATTCTTGCCAACCTGAGAACAATCCCCCCCTCCCATCTTGGCTTGTGGCTCTTATTCCTGAGTCTTAGAGGGAAGAGCTATCAGGGAGAAGGGAGGGTTGTAAGGATGCGAGAGTTGCAGAGAGTCTGGAGAGGGAAAGAGCAGGAGGAGGCGGAAAGAGGCATGTGGCGAAGCTCTCCCACAAAATAATGTCCTAATTAAAAAAGTCTAAACCGCTCAG